CGACCGGCGGGGTTGCAGACGCTCGCTTGATGGCGCGGCCCGCCTTCCAAATCGCTTCGATCTGCTCGGCCCATTCCATCCGACGAACGCGCGGGTGCACGCGGCAAATCTGCCTCGATTATCCCTCCCGAGTCCGACGCCCCCCGCGAAGGCGGCGGGCCTGCTCGAGATACCTTCGAAGGGCAGAGTCTGGGGCGCCAACGGGCAGGCGACGGCGGGCAGGTTTCGCGCGCCCAAGCTCCTTGGCGCCGATGGCGGTAGCCTGAGCTATATCTCTGACTGTAGGTGTAGCGCGCGTCGGAATTTTCTGCGCCCCAATTTAGAATCCGCGTCGCCCACCTCCGGCAACGGCCCCTTTCGCGGCTGGAACCCGAACGTCGAGTCGCAGCTGCTGCACATTCGCGCGCAGTGCATCGCGCGATGGAATGTCTGCGCAGCCCCGACCCAGCGGCGCGGTCAGCTATCTCGCAAGTTAATCAGCGCTCCAATCCTCTGGATTGCCAGATCGCCCTGTCTGTGCGCCCGCGCGCAAGGCGAGGGTCGCCTCCGACCGTGGCAAAGGGGCCAACATGTCCATTACCCACGTCCCTCGCGCGACCGTTTGACCATTTCAGCTCGAGATGCGCGAAGAACTCGCTGCTGGGGGGGGGGGGGGGGGGGGGGCATGTGCGGCGAGCTTGCCGAATGGCGCGCTCTCTTCAGGAAGGGCGCGGCCTCCGCGCGGCCCGCTCACGCAGCGACTGCCGGGGTGGATCGCAGCTTTGTCCTCGGCGCGAACGTCGAGGGCAGGACGCGGCCAGAGCGTTCCTCTGCGCTGCTCTGCGCATGTGATAAGGAAGGACAAAACTAACTTGATGCTGCCCGTCAGCTTGGCCGCGCCGTTGACGCACCTGGCGGCGCCCGCGCAAGTGGGCGAAGCGCGGTCGAGGACCATTGGCCCGCAGACCTTCAGCAACCGATCCAGCGCGGCAGACGGGCGAAAAAGCCCCCGTAGCGCGCAGACAACAAGGCGCCCCGCGTTGATGAATGCTCTGCGCTTTCCGAGACGCCCCCGCCCAGCCCCGCCGCCGCAGCGACGATCGAGCTCCAGGCAAGGGGGTCTCGGCGTCGGCAAGTCCCAGTCGAGCGCGAACTGTTTCTGAGCAGGCGCTGTCGCGCATGAACTAGTTGACGGGCTTGCCTCGGTTAGCTGGGGCCCGCGGAGCCCGCAACGATTGGGGGGCAACTGAAGACGAGGTCTCTGCGGTCTGAGCCCGCCGTTGCAGAATCCAAGAATGGAGCGGCGAGTTCTACCTTCCAGCGAACGAGGAGCCCCGATGCAATCGACGCGGCGAGGAGGCTGATCAGGGCGCGCACGCGCGCAGGGCGCGCCGAAGAGGCCGAGCGCCGTAGTCAGCGCGCGATCCAGCTCCCGCACGGCGGCGAGGAAGTACGGCGTCCTGGAATCGCACTCTGGGACCGCGTTCAGTCCACAGTGCCCGTTGGCCCTAGTCTCCCCAAGCAGCGCCGCCATCGGGCTGGCAACCGAACGCTAGACCGCAAAACGGTGGCCCGTTCTCTCTCGAAGTTCGATGGCCAATTGGAGCGCAGCATCATAATCGCGAAATGTGCGATCAGGCGGAGACTGGCCATTCACGCTGGCAAGATCACCACCCTGCAAAAAAAAACACGTAATGTAGTTTAGAGCTTTCTCGAGCGACCATGCCCCGAATATCGCCAGAGAAGCTAGCATTGTTCATGATGGTGAGACGGCGTTGCCCACGTTGCGGGGGAGCTGGAAGGACACGGCGCCCCACCAACGTCGACTCGGGGAAGTTGGCGATTGACTTAGCAAGTTTCTGAACGCACAAAGAATTCAATGAAACCTCTCCTGGCAGAGAGGCAAGACACCCCTTCAACAAGTTACGCATTATAGTTCTGACACCCCACGGCGCAATCGAGAAGGTGAGAGGGCCTCGTCACGTCGGTGCTGAATGAGCAAAGACATATGATGCCTTGCAGTTCTCCCGCGCACCTCAAGTTGAGACCGTATTCCGCAGCCCCATCAGATATCTGCAGAAGGCGCGTCGGCCTGTCCAGCTGGGGTGGCTTCGAGATATTCCCGCTCTGGGGGCTAATGTGGCAGAGCGCACCACCGTCCCTGTCGGGCACTATGATCTCGCGGGCAACCTCATCGGAGATGTTGGCATCCAAGACTCTATCTTCACAGAACTTCTCCTACATAGCACGGTAGCACGAGAAACGCGAAGTACAACCCCATTGCCGCCATCGGCGTGTCAGCAGCATGCCATCGCTAGATCACTTCATTGTCCGGGGCCGTATACGAGAAACGTTGGCCCTCATGGTCCTGTAACCACCTCCACAGAGCACCAGTACTGAATTCCATTTGACCCAGGCTCGTGAACTGCCCAACTGCGTATACATCCTCCACATTCGAAGCGAAGGCGGTGGCGGAACTCCGCGCGCCCGGCATCGGCTTGGAAGCTTCCAACAGCAGCGGTACAACAATTACGAAGATGGATTTAGCCAGGACGTGTTTCCGGCACGGTCGCCACCTCCACTACCAGCATCAGCGCCAACCGATGGTTCCACAGATCCACTCCCGAGCGTGACAACCCCTCGCGTGAGTCAATCCAAGCGGTTGTCGGTAGTACACTTGAGCGCTGCCAGCTCTCCCCAAATAGCTCTGAAAGTAGCAGAAAGACCATTCACGTCCGTAACATCGCGATGGATCTTCACGCTAAAACTAGCGCTGATGGTCATGAGGAGAGCGCTACTTTCAGCAGTGAGGACAGCAGGGGGAGCAGTGGCCAGGGGCACCTGTCCAGAGCCCGCAGCGGTGGCCCAGAACACGGCCTCGAGGTCAGCGTCTCCGTCGCCGTCGACCTGCAGGGTGTCTCGCGAGACGCGCGAGCTTGATAGGGGAAACTTCCCCGACCGTGCACTGCCATTCGCGAAGGAAGAAGGGAAAGTGCGCGAGTACAGGAATAACACTTCCAACAGTCCTCGGAAAAGTCCTTGAGCCCAAATGGCACAACGGATGATGATGATGATGATGATGATGATGATGATGGTGATGATGATGATGATGATGATGATGGTGGTGGTGGTGGTGATGACGATGATGGTGATGAGGATGATACGGATTATGATGAAGACGACGGCGATGCTGATGATAACGACGGCGATGATCATAAGGATGCCGATAATGAGGATAATGATGCTGATGGTGATGGTGGTGAAGATGACGATGCTGACGACGACGCGGCTGACGATGCTGCTGATGATGCTGATGATGAGGATTGTGCTGATGCTGATGACGACAACGATGACGACGATGGCGATAACGATGATGATGCTGATGATGGTGGTGATGCTAATGATGACGATGACGCTACATATGATTACGATGATGATGATGATGATGATGATGATGATGATGATAATGATGATGATGATGATCACGATGGTGATGCGGATGATGATGATGATGATGATGATGATGATGATGACACTGCTGTTGGCGGCGATGATGGTGATGGTGATGGTGATGATGATTCTGACGATGATTACGACGATAATGGTAATGGTGATAGTGATGATGATGATGATGATGATGATGATGAAGACGGTGAAATGATGAGAATATTATGTTGGCGGCAATGCTGGTAATTGCGATGGTGATGGAGATGATGATGGTGTTGACGAATACGACGATGATGGTGATGATGATGGTGATGATACTGAGAATGATGCTGATGATGCTGATGATGAAGATAATCATGACTATGATGATGCTGGTGGTGATGGTGATGGTGGTGTTGATCATGATGCTGATGGTGCTGATGCTGCTGATGATGAAGATAATCATGACTATGATGATGCTGGTGGTGATGGTGATGGTGGTGTTGATCATGATGCTGATGGTGATGATGATGGTGATGCCAATGATGACGATGACACTGCAGATGATTATGATGATGTTCACGATGATGATGATGCTGATGTTGATGATACTGCTGCTGTCGGCGATGATGGTGATGGTGATGGTGATGGTGATTCTGACGATGATGACGACCATAATGGTGATGGTGAGAGTGGTGATGATGGAGGTGAAATGATGAGAAGATGATGTTGGCGGCAATGCGGGTAATTGCGATGGTGATGGAGATGATGATGGTGACGACGATTACGACGATGATGGTGATGATGATGGTGATGATACTGATAATGATGCTGATGATGAAGATAATCATGACTATAATGATGCTAGTGGTGATGGTGATGGTGGTGTTGATGATTATGCTAATCATGATAATGGTGGTCATGATTATGATGATGACGATGCTGACGATGACCCCGCCCACATCCCTCTCTGGTCGCCAGAGAAGGGGCCAGGGAGGAGGATAATAGAGCGGCGTTTGCCCCATCACATAGGACCGTCTATCCCCCCTCTTGGATCCCCCGAGACGAGGCGGGGCGGAGAGGGCGGTTTTTTGCCCCATCACACACAATCACCCGAGGCTGCGCCGGGTCTCTCTGCCAGGGTCGTCTTGCCCAGGGAGCCTGGCCCACGCCGCAGCCCACAACGAGGACAACGAGGAGCCGGGCCAGGAACGCGGGGCAGCCAAAGCCGCAGGCAAGGGTGATCTTCCGTCAGGGAATGGAGGCCCGCCCTGACTGGGGAAACCAAAAGGTACCGATACCGCTACTCCCCAGACCTCCCCCCTCGTGCGTTCTGACCAGAATTTCGAGGCGAATCCAGCGGTGGCGACGACGGTCTCCAAGGAGGCCTGAAAAAGGGAGAACGAGTGAAAGGTAGCGGTATGGGTACATTTTCGGCCTCTGGCCCAAGGGGCTTGAGGATCGCATCGCATCGCCGATGCATCGCCGATGCCATGGCGACGCCAAGCTTGAAGGAGGTCGTGCTCCGGATCGCGCCGCGTTGCTGGCGCCTCGGCGCGGCCTCCGGGCCCAATCGGACCAGGCCTCCTCGGAGCGGCGCGGGGGGGAGAGAGGAGCCCCCTCCCTGCAGTCTTGGGCGCCCCGATGGAGGTCAGAGGACGCCTCGCCGCGGAGGCTTCCGAAGAGTGGCCTCAGCCGTCCACCTGCATCTTGTCCTGGGAGGCACCCCCGACCGATCTGGGCCCGATCCCGCCGGGCGTTCGTCAACAGGGGGTGATCAACAGGGTGAGGGGGAGGGGGAGGAGGAGCAGGAGGAGGAGCAGGAGGAGGAGCAGGAGGAGGAGAAGGACGAGGACGAGGAGGAAGGGGAGAAGGAGGTGGAGGTGGAAAAGGAGGAGGAGGGGATGAGGAGGACGAGGAGGAGGAGGAGGAGGAGGAAGAAGAGGAGAGAGGAGGAGGAGGGGAGGAGGAGGAGGAGGAGGAAGAGGAGGAAGCGCAGCGTTCGGAAGATGTTTGTTATCCTATCTTGGGGGATGTTCGGCCCGATTCACGGAGTTTGAGCAAAGGCCGAAGCCCCATGAATAATAACTCCAATGAACACAGTGTACAGGATTGTGCAGACGACCCGCGAATAGTCCACCCCAGGGAAGGGCGGAAACTCGTCGTCCCTCAAGCCTTCCCGAAGGATGCCAGCCAGAAAGTGCTGCGTGAGGTCGTCCGCGGTGTCATATATGACCAGATTGTCAAAATTGGAATAGTCGACCGGCTTCGCTGTCGGCTCGACGCGCGGAGGCGCACCAATAGAATATACTGCCTGTGGATGCGCACCAGGTGGGGCCGGCTGCACACGGGCTTCGTCGAACAACCGCCCGTTTGGATGCAATCAAGCACAGTCTCGCCTAGGATGGTCACGTGCATAGCGACAAACAGACCCAATGGCGGCGCCCGCACACGTAGTGCTCGAGGCACGAGCTCTGGGCCCAGGGCTGCTCGACTGCACGCAGGGCGGCGCGGCGGTGGCACCGTCCAGGTTTTGCCCAAGCAGCGCCAGCTGCGCCTCGATGGCCTGGAATCGATCCGCAAACTCTTCACGCATGTTCTCAACAGTCTGCTCGACGTATTCCGTGTTGCCCGCTCTGCCAAGAGGTGACAATGAACCCATGTTTGCGTCAGCCCTCTGCAAAAGCGCAGAGACCTGCTCATAGAGATGCTCGAATTTGGGCATGATCGTTTTCTTCAGCACATCTGGGAGGGACTCTGCCATCACTTGAGAAGTCGTACCCCAAAATTCGCCAACTATCGAATGCGACCGAATAGAAAGATGAACTCTTAGCGCGTTCTGCATTATACCGTCAATCTGTTGAGTGAAATCATGCAGCTCGTCCTCGACATCGACACGAATATTTGTCCTCCGAGTAGAAGTTTCCCAGCCACCTCTGACAAGAGAGTATTTCGTAGGGTCACTCGCAGACTCCTCACGTGACGATCCCGATGCGGCTGAAAAAGAATCCGACGCAGTAGACTGGGAATTTCTGCAACTTCATGCGAGACCGCTCGGAGCGACGCACCCAATTGTTCTGATTATTGACCACATACGCTGCCAACTACGAATCATCCTATGCTGTAGCCAACCCCGAAACAGACGCGTACAAACACTGTCGTGATGATGCCCGCGGCTGGAAGACAGGAGCCATCCGATCCAAACCGCATTTCCGAGGTCGCTGACCAGAGGACCTCCGCACACAAACAAAGGATGGAGAACCAAATCCAGGAACAGATGCCTTCATCGCGTTTCAAATTCCATCATAAAATCTTCTTACCAAGTGCCAGTGTGGTGCTTCAGAAACTGGTGTGTAACAGATAGCTGCTGGAGCCGGCGCCCCACAGCATTCGGCAAGCTGTGTCGATTCGTGTGTGCGGCCACGTTGAATCCCGAGTAGTGGCGACCAGTCGAAGAAGGTAAAAGACGCAGCGCTCGATCAGCCAGCGAGGAGACATGGCCACCAGCCTCGTCCACGGACACAGAAAAAGAAACGCACTCCACGTGCGAGAACAGAAATAAGGGCACATACATCAACATATGCCTTGGCTCGCTTGCGCCACACGTTAAAAAGTGTCGCCTTGAGCCCCATTTGCTACGGAGGAGGCCGAGGGAGAGGAGGAGGAGGAGGAGGAGGAGGAGGAGGAGGAGGAGGAGGAGGAGGGGAAGGAGGAGGAAAAGGAGGAGGATGCGGAAGAGGAGGAGGAGAAGGAAAAGGAGGAGGAGAAGGACGACGAGGAGGAGGAGGAGGAGCACGAGGAGGAGGAGGAGGAGGAGGAGGAGGAGGAGGAGGAAGAAAAGGGCGAGGAGGAGGAGGACGAGGAGGAGGATGAGGAGGAGAAGGACGAGGAGGACGAGGAGGGGGGGGGCGGAAGAGACATGCACCTTTCGCGAACGTTCTGGGCTCGCGGTCGCAGTTTGGGGGGTCCGTTGGTGGCCCCTTCAGGGCCACGTTCCTGCCGCCTTCGGTCCCCCGCTCGTGTTGTGTTGCCCCCCCGTTGCAGTCCGCCCGATCCAGACCCGAAGCAGGCCCGATCTGGCCCAAAGTGTGGCGCACCCCGCTGATGATGATGATGATGATGCTGCTGCTGCTGATGATGATGATGATGATGATGATTATGATGATGATGATGATGATGATGCTGATGCTGATGCTGATGCTGATGCTGATGCTGATGATGATGATGATGATGATGATGATGATGATGATGATGATGATGATGATGGTAGGAGGAGGAGGAGGAGGAGGAGGAAGAGAAGGACGAGGAGGAGGAGGAGCACCAATGAAAACCCCCGTCCCTTCCGAATGGCATCGGGGAGCGACACTGAGGAGTTTTGCGCACGGAAGAAGCATGGAGGAGGAGGAGGAGGAGGAGGAGGAGGAGGAGGAGGAGGAGGAGGAGGAGGAGGAGGAGGAGGAGGGGGAGTCAGAAGGGCAGGGGGGACGACGAGGATCGAGGAGGAGGAGGAGGAGGAGGAGGAGGAGGAGGAGAAGGAGGAGGAGGAGGAGGGGGGCCCTGGACTGGCAGACCCCCCGCACGATGGCTCGGCAGAGCGGCCAGGCCGCGGGCCCTGCTCGGAGCCCAGATCGGTGGTGCTCGACGCCTTCTGCAGGTGGTGTCCTTGTCGGCCCCGGCTGCCTCGCCGCTGGACGCCGCCGCGCCGCCCAGCGTCTTGCCGTCAGTGGTGATCTTCGCCGGGGCCTTCTTGTAGAGGATAAAGTAGGCAATGTGCGTGTCCAGCCGCCCGCCGGCGAGGTCCACCACCTTGTCGGGCCTCTCGGAAACCTTGTCGTCGTCGAAGAGCAGCCACTCGTCCTCCTTGATCTTCTTGCCGTCAGCCTTCTCATGTATTGTCCACCCGACGTAGTGGCCGCCGTCGGCGCTTCGGCCCTGGTGGGACACCACAGATTGCAGCTCATAGGTCCCGGTGTCGACGAACTGCACGGAGGCATCGTTGTCATCTGGGACCTCCACGTTCTTCCCTTCCTTCAGCGCCTTCTGTGCAAGGTCCCAATCCTTATCTTTCTGCTCGGAGTCTTTCTGCCTATTCTCGCCAAGCTCCTTCTGGAGCTCTGGCGTGCAAAATTCGTACACGTCCAGCCTCTTCGGGAACTGCACCTTCCGGCCGATCTTGACCTTGGCGGCCTGGGTGCCAGCCTCGCTATTCGCCTTCTTCCACCCGAACCGCGCAAACTGCACGATTATGTAAGAGGGGAGAGACGCGATCGCCATCGTCTTCTCGAATGTTGCCACCCGCCCCAGAACTTCGCTGGACTTCTCCACGGTCTCCTTCAACGACAATTTAATGCCCTCGCGCACGTGCCCAACAGGGTCGGTCGTCGCTCCCATGTGGCACATGAGGAATCTGTCCAGGCTGTCGTCCACCTCTGGGGGGCTCGCCTTGACCCCACGCGTCTGCCCTTCCAAGCATATTGCAACTTTCCTGCGAGGGGCTCCTTGCCAGCCTAGGTCCTGCCTGCCGTCCTGGCGTTTTCCCAACCATCCTGTGGTGTTGGGTCCTCGTTTTGAAGAGACGGTCCCCGCGTTCTCCTCCTCGCGTGCCCCCCCCCCCTCCTCCCTACCGTCCGCATGCGTCCCGCACACCCAGTGCAGCGCTTCGTGGCCCCATAGGGAGCCCCACCGAAGGTCCGAGTGCTACCGTCCGCATGCGTCCCGCACACCCAGTACAGCGTTTCGTGGCCCTCCTCCCCCTCCTCCCTGCTTTTACCCACCCAGTACAGCTTTTCGCGGCCCCGTAGCCCATAGGGAGCCCCACCGAAGGTCCCAGTGCTACCGTCCGCATGCGTCCCGCACACCCAGTACAGCGTTTCGTGGCCCCATAGGGAGCCCCACCGAAGGTCCCAGCGCTACCGTCCGCATGCGTCCCGCACACACAGTACAGCGCTTCGTGGCCCCATAGGGCCGGAGCTCCACCGAAGGTCCCAGTGCTACCGTCCGCATGCGTCCCGCACACCCAGTACAGCGTTTCGTGGCCCTCCTCCCCCTCCTCCCTGCGATTTACCCACCCAGTACAGCGTTTCGTGGCCCCGGGAGTCCCCGACCCTACCGTCCGCATGCGTCACCAGTGCACCCCACCGAAGGTCCCAGTGCTACCGTCCGCATGCGTCCCGCACACCCAGTACAGCGTTTCGTGGCCCCATAGGGAGCCCCACCGAAGGTCCCAGTGCTACCGTCCGCATGTGTCCCGCACACCCAGTACAGCGTTTCGTGGCCCTCCTCCCCTACTCCCTGCGATTTACCCACCCAGTGCAGCGCTTCGTGGCCCCATAGGGAGCCCCACCGAAGGTCCCAGTGCTACCGTCCGCGTGCGCCCCGCACACCCAGTACAGCGCTTCGTGGCCCCATAAGGAGCCCCACCGAAGGTCCCAGCGCTACCGTCCGCATGCGTCCCGCACACCCAGTACAGCGTTTCGTGGCCCTCCTCCCCCTCCTCCCTGCGTTTCACCCACCCAGTGCAGCGTGTCGTGGCCCCATAGGGAGCTCCACCGAAGGCCCCAATGCCCCCGTCCGCATGCGTCCCGGAAGCCCAATTTGGCATTTTGACCCACCCAGTGCACCGTTTCGTGGCCCCAGAGGTGGCTCCACGCAAGGCCCCAGTGCCAACGTCCGTATGCGTCCGGGGAATGTAATTTGGCGCAGTGCAGCGCTTCGTGGCCCCATAGGGGGCTCCACCGAAGCCCCCAGTGGGACCGTCCGCACGCGTCCCTGTAACCCAATTTGGCAAATTCACTCACTCAATAGAGCGCTTCGTGGCCACATAGGGAGCTCCACCGAAGCCCTCAGTGGGACCGTCCGCATGCGTCCCGGAAACCCAATTCGGCACACCACCCACACAGTACAGCGTTCCCCCCCGCCCAGTGCAGCGCTTCGTGGCCCCATAGGGAGCGTCACCGAAGCAGATATTCACAATTACGGTACCCACAGCTGCATATGGCTCGCCAGGATAATTTTGGGGGGCTCTGGGTATCACCAACGAGGCCAATCTGATAGATTACGAAACTGCCGCTCCAAACCTGGTCTCGCCAGAAAGACAATTACCCAGGGCTCAAAGTGTGCCCAGAGAACTATTCAGAGCACCCGTTGCAAACGCGACTATCGTGAGCTACCCCCTCTCACTCCCTCTCCTCCTCGTCCTGCTTGTCCTCCCCCCTTCCGCCTTCTCGGGCTCGTCATCGCACTCCACACATTTGTAAACGCTTCGGCTCTTGAAGCCGAAGAGCCTGTCTATGGAGTTGGTGTCGCCCTCCGGAGTCGCCGACGCGAATGCGGCCAGCATGTTGCGGATGCACTCCTCCGCGTCCTGGAGTGGCGGCATTTCTCCTTCTCCTCTTTCTCCTCCTCCTCCTCCTCCTCCTCCTCCTCCTCCTCCTCCTCCTCCTCCGCCTCTGCCTCCTCCTCCGCCTCTGCCTCCTACTCAAAGTTACCGCCACCTCCACCTCCTCATGTTTCTCCTTCTCGTCTAAGTCTTCCACCTCCTCCTCGTCCTCCTCCTCAAACCTCTTCACACGCCTGCCCTAAGTCCTCCTCCTCCTCCTACTAAGTCCTCCACCTCATCATCCTCCTCCACCGGATCCTGCTGCATCGGCATCCCCTGCGGTGTCCTCTCCGCAAACGACGGCACCTTGGCGCGCAGCGCGAGCAGGAAGCGAACGGGCTTCACAGCCTCGGTGGTGTTCTTCATGGCCTTCAGCAGCTCCCGGAACTCGTGCGCGACCTGCGAGTCCACGTCCCCGCCGCCCGTCACCTTTGCTGGCACGCTCCAGGGGGGGTCATTGGGCCGAGGGGTGCTGCCCCGCAGCAGCTCGTCCTCGAGCCCTCGGCCGCCCTGGAGCTTCAAGGGGGGCGCCCTCGTCGCCCCGGCTCGACGCCGCGCGCTCCGCGGGCCGGGGGAGAAGCCCCGGGCAGCGGGCCCGGGGACGGGCTCTGAGCGGGGGCTGCTCGAGGGCGGGGCGACACGCTGCCCCCCGGCCTCCCCTCGGGGTGGCCACGCCCTCCCCGCGGGGCCTCTCCGCGGCGGGGCCCCGCCGCCCTTGCGGGGAGGCGCCCCGCCGTCGGCCTTGGGCGGGGCCGCGGGGGCGGCCTCCGTCACGAGCGCAGCCGTCGTCACGAGGGGCCGCACCCCCCCCCCTCGCCCTGCCCCAGCCGCCGCAGCCCGCTCAGAGACGGCCCCATGGACCCTGGGGCCCCTGCTGGGGAACTGCTCGTCCCGGGTGGCGTCTGGAGGCAGAGAGGCTCCACCGGTGGCAAGGAAGGACCACTGCAAGAGAGTCCCACATGGGGGGGCGAGGTGCCCTGGTCCGTCAGGTCGGGCAGACGTGTTGCCTGAGATCTCTTCACGACTTATTCACGAGTCGCGCTCGCGCCTCAGTGCCGGCGACATGTTTCGCCCGGGCGGCCACGATCCCGCGTGCAAAACATATGCACGGTGAGGTGCGCAGGGCCGTGCTCTCACCCCTGTCCCGGCTGCACCTTCGCCTTCAACCCCTGTCCAGGCTGTTGTCAGGGTGCTTCGCCGGGGTCACTGGAGCTGCATCCAGCGGTGCGCGCGAAGGCCGCCAAGCAGACCCCGCCGACCATGCCAAAGACTCTGAAACTCCTCCCTCTCCCCTCCCTCCTCCTCTTGCGCTGCCCCCCTCGTCTGCGCCGCCAGACACCTTCTCGAGCGCCGTCTCCAGCTCGGGGATCCGCCGCAGCATCTGGATGCACGAATTCATGTAGCAGGTGTTCCCGAGGTTCTCCAGGCCGACGGGCAGCGGGGCCTTGGTCTGAAGCTGCAGGGCCTCGGGGAGCGCCGCGTGCCCCACCCCCTGACGCCCGCGTTCCTCCCGCGCGACTGGACTGCGCACGGCGATTACCGGCACATTGCCCCGAACTGGTCAAGCAACAAACCGACAGATCGAGCGATAGGCAACGACGACATACACAGCTCAGGATGGCACGTTGACAGCTAAAACTGGCACACGCAAGCGGGCACATGCAGTGGGCACCTCCGAAACTAAACGGGCACGTGGCGATGACGACCGGGGCCCAAGCTACGTGACTAGATGCTCCTGAAGTCATCCAGGCATCCCATGAAACCCTGCATCTCCGTGTCGCAGGGCGGTCGGGACGACCCGAGCAGCACGGCAAACTCGAGAAGTGATGGACGGGCATCCGCGGACTCCGCACGAGCGAGGGGGGCTGCCTCGTCCTCTCGTGCTTGCGGGAAGGCCGCGGCGACGTTCTCTCGTCCTGCTCGCCCCCCGTCCGCCGACGGCCCCGAAGCAGCGGCACCGCCAGCAGGCACGCACACCCACATCCGCAGCAGTCTGGGACCCCGCCCCCCGGACCCCGGGGGAACTGTGGGTGCGGAGACCTCTGCTCCCGCTGCCGAGGGCGTGCGGATCATTTCCCCGTAGCCATTCTGGCTCGAGGTACACGTTGGGCGGACGCGCTCGCGCAAGCCGTGCCCCGTGGCCTGTAGCAGGACACGGCCTCTGAGCCGATCGGGAGTTCCTTCGTTCGCCCAGTCTCGAGACCCAGTGGACCCCTGTGCAGATTCGGGCGGTGGCACAACGCGCCAGCACCTCGCCCCGCAGAGGGGCCCCTAATGGAGGCATATGATTAAAAAAACATTTGAGGGCGGACGTTTTAAAAAATAGTTTCGCCGGCCTGGTTGGGCCCACATAAGGGGGGGAGGGGGCGCCGCCCACGGAGGGCCCCCCCAGGGCGAACAAATAAAGTTCTCCGGGGGACAATTATGGTTGCCCCCCGGGCCGTCTGGAGGGCCAGGGGGGGGGCGAGGGCAGGCAATTCGGAGCGGGGGGGGTCGGCCCTTCCCTCCTCCCTCCTCCTTCCGCTCCTCCTTCCTCCCTCCTCCCTCCGGCCTCCCTCCTCCCTCAATTCCTCCTCCCTCCTCCCTCCCTCCTGTCTCCTCCCTCCTCCCTCCTCCCTCCTTCCTCCTCCCTCCCTCCCTCCTCCCTCCCTCCCTCCTTCCTCCTCCCTCCCTCCTTGGCAGGCGACCGCACGGAGGCGCGACACCACTTGGGCGGGAGCGAATCACTTGAATTGTTTCTTGTGGCCATCACAGTATGTGTCCACGCGACGAGCGAACAAACAAACGCTGGAGGGAAGGAGAAAGGGGGGAACGATTAAAAAATCAGTTTCGGGCCCCAGCCCTCCTCCCTCCTCCCTCCTCCCTCCCACCTCCCTCCTCCCGCCCTGCCTCGCCTCCCTCCCCCCTCCCCCCTCCCTCCCTCCTCCCTCCTCCCTAGGGAGGAGGGAGGAGAGGAGGGAGGCCTCCTCCCTCCTCCCTCCTCCCTCCTCCCTCCCTCCCTCCTCCCTCCTCCCTCCCTCCTCCCTCCTCCCTCCTCCCTCCCTCCTCCCTCCTCCGTCCCTCCTCCCTCCTTCCTCCCTTCCTCCTCCTTGGGAAAATCGAGAATCTTCAGGGGGAAAGGGGGGGGACGATTAAAGTTGCTGGGGGGGGACGATTAAAAAATCAGTTTCGGCCCCCAGATTCTAGTAGTACGCCCAACTCTTCACGGATAGGGCCCCCCGGGGGAGAGGGGGGGGGGGTATTTTTTTTATCATATGCTCACATTATATCATCAAGCCTTCCTGCTTTTTTTTGTTTGGGGGGGGGGCGCGGGGGGCGCGGGACAGGGCCCACGAAGGCGAGGTGCGGCAACCGCCACGGGGGGACGGGGGGGGCGCGAGGGGACCGCGACAACGCCACGGCCAGCACTCCCTCCTCACTCGACGCGGCCGTCGACTCGCCCTCCTCGGCCCTCCGGCTGCTGGCCGACTCACGCAGCCACGGCGCGCGCTCGCAGCGGCACGGGAGGGGCGAAGGCGTGCTCCAAGACGCGGCTACGTCACGGCTGCTCGCGCGGCTTCTCCGCGCGAGGAGGGTGGGGACACCCAGGCCTCCGCCCGCTCCAATTTTGTCGATGCGTAGGCCCCTGAGGTCCAGACCACTTCCCCCAGACCACTTCCCTGAGGCGGGTCTGTTCGTCCTGGGTCGTTGTTTGACGCACCCGAGGCCCGGCGAGGGCCCCTGGAGGCCGAAAACTGCCCAAATCCCGCCGCTCCCATTTTTCGGCAGCGTCGTATCTCTGAGTCTGAGGGAGGACCCAGGAGGTGGAGGAGAATCCAGGCGAACACGGAATACCCCGGGCCATTGGGACACGGCTGCCACGCGGAAAGCGGGTCTTGGTGGAAGCGGGTCCTGCGGTTTTCCACGGCCGCGGGCCGCGGCTTTGCCAGCGAGAGCCCGGAAGCGGCGGAAGACCTCCAGGACTTCTGTACAGTGGAGGCCAGTCCACAAGAAGCCTTCCACAAGAAACCTAACCCTGAGACCCCAGGGCGTCCATGGATCTCTGGCGTGGGAACGTCACGCTTTCCACAGCAAAACCATCGAAGCCCAAGAAACCCAGGGCACCCTGGAGGCAAGCAGGGTGTGTCTTGGCATGGGTATCCACTGTACTCGGAGCTTCGATTCCTTGATTCGGGAAGACGTGAGACTCGAGTTTTGGGAAACTCGCGTGTGCCTGACGCGGCCGCCAGCAGACTCTCGAGACATGGTCTGAAACTTGACGCGAGCCCTCGCTGCAAACATCTCAACGAAAGTGGACCATCAACACTCATGATGGGACCCTTAAACTCGACGGATGTAAGCCGGACTCCCGACGGATATCAGCCGGACTCCATACTGCAACAGTCGGCCACACAGGCTGTGGCTGGCAGGCCTCGCTGCCCAGCGAAGGTGAACATCAAGGAACGGAGAAACAGGCATACGATTAGGTCGGGCATGTCCTGCTACAGGCGGATTTTGGGAGACAAATCAACAATAGTCAACAAAAACGTGCACCCCAAAAAATTCAAAATGATCAGCAAACAAACGTCCCCAGACTATTGTTCCACTATTTTTGAATTCTCCTCCAGTAGAGGGACATGCCCGACGTACGCATACGACGACAGACGCGCGGGAGGGGGGCGACAGCCAAAGGGGAGAGGCGGGCGGGCGGGCAGGACGGCAGGGTCAGAAGGAAGAGAGAGCAGGAATGGAGCAGGGACGGGACGGGCAGGTTTAGGAGGCAACAACTGGGAGGTCTTCGTCGGAAAGACTAAGGAAGATCAAGCCACAGTGGGGGGCCGTTACGCTGGAGTGGGCCTCGGATGAAGCGAGCTTGCACGGGATCAAGCCGGATTAAGCCAGATTTCGGACCAGGGCAAAAGCAGAGTTTGACCTCCCAGGAGTTGCACCCGAAGAACGTAAATGGGGGGCAGAGCTCGGAGCAGTCGACAGCACACTGGCGGCGCCACCAGGCTGGGAGAAAAAGAAAGGCCGCCCGCGACAAGACGACATCGGCCCTCGTGCTGCCATCAAAAGAGCAGTGGGTCCGCCACCGTGCCGCTGGGCGCGGGGTGGACGTGTCCTCAGGTCCTTTGCCCAGTCCTCTACAGGAGGGGCTCGACCACAAGAAACCTTTCACAAGATACCCAACCCTGGAATCCCAGGGCGTTCATTGATTTTGGTATGGGAACGTCACGCTTTCCATGGCAAAACCATGGAAACCCAAGAAACCCAAGGCACCCTGGAGGCAAGCAGGGTGTTTCTTGGCATGGGTCTCCATCGGCTCTTCGCCTGAATTCTCACTCCAGAGGAATCTTGAAGGGGCCCAGAGCCATAAGTGCCAAATGTGGCGAGGCTTGGCGGGTCTTTTCGGGGGCCTGTCGAGCCATCTCGCGTGACTTTTTTGGGCCCAAGAGGGGTCAAACACTCGCCAAGAGGGCCTCAAGAGGCCCTCAAGAGGGCACAAAAGGGCCCCGAGACGGAAAGATCGCCCCAAGACTCCCAAGACGGCCCCCAGACGGTCCAAGTGGCCTTCAAGACGCCCCAGGAGGCCTCCAAGAGTCTTCCTAAGAGGGCCCCAAGACGCCCAAATCGCTGATTTACCAGCGGTGTTGAATGTGTTTGGCGTTTTAGCCTTTTCGGCTTCCCGACGCTCCCACACAGCCCTAGAGGCCCCCAGATCGCCCCAAGACGTCCCAAGATGCCTCCAAGAGGGTCTCACAACGGCCCAAAGAGGGCCCCAAGACAGCCCAAGAGGCGCCCAAGACGGCCCAAGAGGCCCAACTGACGGCCCCAAGAGGGGGCCCAGACGGGGGACCCGAACGGACATTTTGAGCCCTCGGCCCCGACTGGCCTCCGAACGGCCCCAAGAGGCCATCAAAAGGCCCCTGAGAGGCCCCCAAGAGGCCCCCCAAAGGCCACCAAGAGGCTCCAAAGAGGGCCCCAAACTGCTCACAAGAGGCCCCCGAAAGCGCTCCGAAGAGACCCCAAAGAGCATCCCTGAGAATTCTGACCCACAACCCACGCACGGTGGCGGGATGGGGCGAAGGCCATCAGATAAGGAACGAGGGTGCCTTCCGACCACAGCGAACCTCGGCCACGACTGGGTTCCACGACCTCGACCAAAGGCACGGCCAGAAAGCCCAAACCCCTCCAGTGCCCCACCACGCCTTGCCCATATAAGGGCACTGCGACGACGACGACGACGACGGCCTGGCAACACCCGTGGGGGATCTGGAGGGATCGCGGAGGGGGCGGCGGGCGGAGGGGAAGACGCGGGCTCGCGGTCGGAGTCGCCGTGAGGAAGGGTCACCGCTGGGCGGGGTCGTTGTTGCGTCCTCGCTGGGGGGGTCCCAGGGCGGCCCGAGAAGAGCGCCCGCGGCGTGCCATGGTCGGCAAGCCCTCCTTTCGGGTGTGCTTCCCGCCCCGCTGGAGCCCGCCCGCCACCGAGCCGCGGGAGAGGGGCATGCCGCCATGTCGCTTGGTGCGCAAGGACACTTCAGGGAATGCCGTCCGCCCCGCCAGGGCCCGGCCCGGCCCTCACTCCCTCTTGGAGGGGGGCGCGCCGGTGCTGCCCAGCACGGGTGGGGGGAGCATGCGGGGGGGAAGGCGAGGGGCGCTTGGCAACGCCGCTGGCGCCTCGCGCAGCATCCGCTGTGACCGCGGCCAGGCGGGCCGCGGCCCTGGCGCGTTCTGACTGCGTCCGGAGGCGCCGCAACACCGCCCCCGTGCTTTCGCTGCGCAGGTAGATGGATAATATCGCTGGGCGTGGTGGTCAGCGACCAGGACGGCGTTTTGCCAAGTGAACGACGCGCGAGATGACGTGGCGACCTTGCGCGGTGGCTTACGCGGGCCGCCCGCGCGGCACGCCACATTTGAAGCGAGGGCGCTTACGCGCGACCTCACGCGGGCAGTTTACGCGCCAATGTCGGCGCAGACGACACCGCTTTCTTGCGACGCTCAACTGGCGTCGCTTGGCCACACCACTGACTGTCATGCGTGGCCCGCGGGCAAGCGTGGGTTTCCATCACCATGGGACGGGGGTGAAGCCCTGCTCCGCGCAGAGCTACGCGGCGCGAACTGCCTCTCGAAGTCCCCCTATCGCTTTGCAGACGCGCTGGACGAAGCGGCTGGCTCGGCGAGGCTATTGGCGCACTTCCCGAACGTGGTGGCAAAATCTAAGGCAAGCGCCACGCCGTTACGCCACCAGGGGAAAAAAGACGCCCGCGGCGGGCGGGCGGTTGCTAGTGTGCACCCGGGGCCCACCCACTTCGCCCTGGGGAGGGGGGGGCTCCTCGGCGGGGCATGCGCCCCCACTCCGCCCCGAAGCGGGCAGAAAACATCGGTTCCGCGGGGCGCCGTGGCGCTCAGTCTGGACGCCGCGGCAGGCGCAGACCAGAGCGCGGTTGCAGAAAACGCCCGCCCCCTCGCCGCAGGCTGGGCAGAAAGATCCCCGCCGAAGGCTGGAAACGCAGCCGCTTCTGCAGGACAGCCTGCACAAGGCCGCGCGGGGTGTCAGCGCCAACGGCCGCGCAGCTTGGCGCTTGGAGCCGCGCGCGGGCGCCCACGCACCTCCCAATTTCGGTGGAGCCGGCCAGGTCCTGGAAGCGCTCGTCTTGCGGACCCCTCAGCGCCGCCCCTGCGCGCCCCCGCCGCCGGGGGCGGCACTGCAGAAAAGGCGCCCCCTGCACTCCTGTTTCTGGGGCACGGGGCAGCCGTCCACCCGCGCCAGAAAACAGCAGCCCGCACATTCACTGGAAACCCATGCGCTCCGAAGGGCGAGGAAGAAGGAGAACGCCGAGAGGGTAGGCTGGAGGCTTACCTTCCCAAGGCAGAGAGCGCCGAGAGGTCACTGAAACTGCCTGTGCCTGTCCTCCCTGCCGACGGAAGTAAGTAGAACAAGAGAGAGGGAGAAAAACAAAGAGGGATGCCGTGGGCCAGATCACTCCCGAGGCGCACAGGTTGTTGCAAGGCAAGGCCCACTCATACGGAGCTCAGCCGAAAACTGAAGGGGAAACAAAACGTTGTAAACGTGGCAGGGCCCCACATTGAGAGCTCTGGAGCCAACGACTTACCAGCGAGGATATCCCTGGCGAGACGACGACGGCAACTGAGAAGCATGATAAACACCTCCAGGAATGTACGGCGCGTAGCACCTGCCGAATGCGCTGCACCTCCACCCCTACGCCTTAGCTCCTCCCAGTGACTCTAGTCATTTTTGTTCATAGCATTTGGAGTCCAGGCCACGAGGACCGGCACGGAACGTCAAACAGAAGTGCACCACACCATTGTCGCAGCAATAGTGCCCAGACACGTACTCGACCAAAACGGCGGTTGCATGTGCGACGGCGTACTTGTCCATGGCAGCCTAGACGTTGTTACCATCGGCTGCGGGAGCGAAGTTGTTTACGGCCGTATGCGGAGACATGGTTGCCCGCAGCGATCGCAGCGTGATTCTGGTTCTCGAAGTGGTTGGTCGAGGCTTTGCTGGAGACTTTTGACAGCACTGGCTGAAGGTGCAGCTCGGAAGGGGGGAGGCTGAAGACCCCTTGATCCGATAGGGCTTCCGCCAGCCTTCCACGCCGGCGGAGGCGGTCTCGTTTTACATCCTCGGGCTTCCGCAGCCCTTCCGCCGAGGAACAGGTGTGCCACCCCCCCGGACTGTGATCGAAGGCGACGCCCTCTCTGGAGCGCCTCAGTTGGAGGGGGGGCTCGAAGGCGAAGAAGAAAAATAAGAGAAAGAAGAAGAACGCCTCCGAAGGAAGACAGGTGACATCACCACACGATACGACAAAAACGAATCAGGGGGAGAGTGGGCGCGCCTCGCCCCTCCTCCTTGGCCCTGATGCGGGCGTGGCGGGCCCCGAGGCGGTCCTCCGGAACTCCCCAGCTGGGGGGAGGGGGCAGCAGGCCCCCCCCGCTGCAGGCGTGCAGCCTTGTTTGCCGCCTCTGTGGGCACGCAGAGCTGCCCTGCGGCACTGCGGCGTTGGGGGTCGCCTCGGGGCGGCGGCGCCCGCTCCCTGGGGCGGAACGGCCGTGCCACGCGAGGTCGCCACTGGCTCGGCACAGGTCGGGCATGCCCTCCGACGGGCGGATGTTGAAAGAAAAAAATCCGAACTGGTCAGAGCAGACTCAAAGACAGCCCGAACTAGTCCAGGAATCGTCCCCGGGCTACTGCTGGACTAGTTCGGAATACTCCTCCTTGTGGAAGGGCATGCCCGACTTGAGGCTCGGCCTCGGGGCGGCAGGACGCTGCACGACGTCCTGCAGGCGGGCTGCCGAAACAGGACGCGCTGGGCAGGGAACGAGGCGCCAGGTCGTCCCCCAGGGCGCCTGCGCGGAGGAGCAGCGCTGGAGAAACTGCCATGGACGGACCTACAGTTGGGGCCCGACCACAAGAAACCTTCCACAAGAAACCCAACCCTGAGACCCCAGGACGTCCCTTGACTTTTGGTGTGGGGACGTCGCGCTTTCCATCGCAAAACTACCGAAACCAAAGACACCCAGGGCACCCTGGAGGCAAGCAGGGTGTTTCTTGGCATGGGCCCCCACTGTCAGGGACACCGATTCCCTTCCGAGCCCAAGCTGTTCCTTATGTGTTGCGTCGTGGCTGCATCGTCCTGCCAAGTTCGGCATCGGCCCTCGAGAACGTCATAGTGGGACGCTCCCCAAGGGGGTGTTCGGAAGACCGGGGACCTGTTCGGGCCTCTCAACGGCCTCGGGAGACATGTGGGGTCGGGAGCCAGGGCGAAGGCGAAGCGCACCAATCCTTGACTCTCGATATTGGGGCGGCCGAGCACTGCATGGCGCTTTGCAATCCTCCCGCTCGCACCTCTGTCTCCCTCCGCTCTTGTCCCCTCCGCAGCGAACGCGCATGTAGCCGTCATACGCACACCATCATCTTCCATGAGGGCATCCTTCCGTCAAACTACCGTCTCGATCAGATGCCCTTGAGGAGGCAGGCGCGGGAGAGAACGGAAAAAAGAAAGAGGGACAAAAAGGAGGAGGGGTCCAGAGTCAGAGGAGGTGAAGGGGAGGAGGAGGAGGAGGAGGAGGAGGAGGAGGAGGAGGAGGAGGAGGAGGAGGAGGAGGAGGAGGAGGCGGAGGAAGGAGGAGGAGGAGGAGGAGGAGGAGGAGGAGGAGGAGGAGGAGGAGGAGGAGGAGGAGGGGAGAGGAGGAGGAGGAGGAGGAGGAGGAGGAGGAGGAGGAGGAGGAGGAGGAGGAGGAGGAGGAGGAGGAGGGGGGAGAAGAGTGGGAGATGAGGCCAGACACATGACAAACACATATCTCCGAAGCTGCGTTGAGGCCGGGCGGGGGTCGAGGATCTGCAACATCCAAGGGGGTTTGGGGGCTGGAACGGCGCTCTGCGCAATCCCAGGGAGCCTTGGCGATCTGTTCGGGAGTCATGTCCTCCTCGAACTGCACCTTTTCGGCTGGCTCCTCATTCTCCACATGGTCCCCCTCCTCCTCATCCTTCTGCCCCTCATCCTCAAACCATGCCCTCCTCTTTCCCAACCTTCTGCTTCTACGGTCAGGAACTGCTGCAGTGCGCATCGCGGCGGCGGCCCCGCCGACACGCTATGCCTTGCAAGCGGAGTGCGTCTCGCTCCGCTCCGCTGGGCGTGAGGCTGGAAGTCTCGGACCGTGGATGCTCAGGGACCGGGATGTGGACAGCGCGTCGCGCCGAGGCGTGGTGGGCCAAACCAGGCGGAGAGGCACGCCAAGCCACAGCTCTCGATCGAAATCTTCCCTATCCTCCTCCTCCTCCTCCTCCTCCTCCTCCTCCTCCTCCTCCTCCTCCTCCTCCTCCTCCTCCTCCTCCTCCTCCCCTCCTCCTCCCCTCCTCCTCCTCTCCTCCTCCTCCTCCTCCTCCTCCCTCCTCCTCCCTCCTCCTCCTCCTCCTCCTCCTCCTCTCCTCCTCCTCCTCCCCTCTCCTCCTCCCCCTCCCCTCCTCCCCCTCCTCCTCCTCCTCTCCTCCTCTCCTCCTCCTCCTCCTCCTCCTCCTCCTCCTCCTCCTCCTCCTCCTCCTCCCCTCTTGCTGTTTCTCCTCGTCGCGGCCTCGCGCCTCGCCTTCTCGTCGCTTCTCCCATCCTTCCTCGCGCCTCGCCTTCTCGGCGGGCTCTTTGAGCTCGGCCTCCTCGGCGGTTCCGATCAGCATCACCTGCCCAGGCTGCGAGCAGGGCAGGGCCCCCTCGGGGAAGAAGAGGAAGGGGGCGCACAAAGACATATTAGTACTCTATGCTCTCCTTGGAGGCGCGCGTGCGACCCAAACATCTAGTATACCCATCTTGCAGTATGTACCAACGGTGGCGACGAGGGCCGCCCAGGAGGCCCAAAACGGGGAAAACGAGGGAAGGGTAGAGGTATGGGTACCTTTTCCTCCTCTGACCTGCAGTGCGGGGATCAGCGGTTGCGAGAGCGAGAGCCAGTGGGCAGTGGTGCAGCAGCAGCAGCATGGGCCGTGGACTGGAGCCCCAGGGCGCGTGCGCCGCCGGCATCCGGGTGCGGCTCGCGCGCAAGGGTGTGCGCGGGGGCGTGCCCCCTTCAGGACGCGAACGAATGAAGGGGACCAGGGACACACGCAAATAAATAGACACAAATAACAGGATTCCCAACATGTTCCATATTTTCTGGGCTTTCGTCTCCCCCCACACTTCCCATATTTTCCGATAAATTCTGGGGAATCGACGATTCATTATGTCTGTGTGTTTTGCTCCCTCCTGAGCGAAACGAAACGAAACGAGGAGACGGTAGCGCAGCACAAGGTCCCCTCTGTGCGCGTCATCCTCCTGCCCTCGTCGTCGTCACTCCGGAGGAATAAGAAGGATGAGGAGGAGGTGGCCTAAATCGGGGATGGACAGACCCCCCTTTAGTAAAACGTGGTTGAGTGAAAACGACCTGAGGCCCAAACCTGGCGGGCGCAAGCCTGGAAAATGACGGCCACGGCGCCATCTCGAGAATCGAAAACGGACAAGTCACTAATCAACGTGTCACTGTTGGGGCATCTGTCCACCCCCGACTCAAGGGGGGGTGTGAGCGGCGGGGGCGCACTTCAAACAGGCGTGGGTCCTCGAAAGGAGCCCCACGAATCGAGGTCGGATTACCGGTGGGGGGGGCAGACATGGAGCACGCCACGATCTGGGGATCAGAGAAGGAGGCGGACCTTCGTCCCCTCCTTGATGTTGCGCTTCGACAGGTCGTCGTCGTCCTTCAGCGGGCCACCTGGAATGCCGAGGATCTTCTGTCGCTCCGGCGGCACCCGCGTGAGGGAGTACATCTGCAGCTTCAGTATCTCGACGCTGGCGGTGGCATCTATCTCAACGTCGCTGAAGGTCTCCTTGCCCCACTTCACATTCACCTTCACCATGGCCGTGCCACGGCCGCGCGACGCTGACCAAGAAGGCAAATGCAACGAATTGCGCCGACGTGGCTGCGGGCGGGCAGGTGGAGCAAGCATACTGCATCACAGCACACGGAGGGAGGCGGGGACAGGGAGGAAGCTTCACGTCTGCACGGCCGATACTTCAGCTGCTACTCCTGACGTTCCTCCTCATCGTTCGTCTTCTTGTTCCCCTGCCCTCCCTCACGCCTCCTGCTCTGCCCCTCCCTTTGCGAACAAATCAGCATGACCAGTAAGTGTGAAGGTGCAACATGTTCGGCGCTTCGAGAATGTCTTACAACAGAGCGAGACGGGATCCAGTCGACCATGAACCAGCACAAGCAAGCTGCAACCAGAATGCTCAATCTTACTCGCAAGGTTGGAGAAGGCCGTGGTCGATAAGAAAATCCAGCTTGAGGAGAAGTGCAGAAGGAACATGACTCATCAGAGAAGGTCATTGCTGAAAAGAAGGTCAAACTTGAAGAGATGCGTGCGCTAGCCGAACCGAACCGGGCCGAACCGAACCGGGCCGAACCGAACTGGTACGAACTGCACGTTTTGTCAACAATAACCGAACCGAACCGGGGAGGAAGAGGAGGAAGAGGAGGAGGAAGAGGAGGAGGAGGAGAAGGAGGAGGAGGGGGGCTGAGGAGAAGGAAGAGGAGGAGGAGGAAGAGGAGGAGGAGGAGGAAGGGGGAAGAGGGAGGAGG